TGGTCACTTCCCCGACAATTTTCAACAATCTTCTAATAAAAATCAAGTTAATTTCTTATACAATTATAATACTATTTTCTACTGCTCAATTGGAGATAATGCTTTTTAATATACATATGAATATTAAAATTATTTCAGATGGGGTAGGTCTTGTGATTTTATCCTTTTGAATTTTCCACATAAAAATGTCTCGTGTTTCCTCTATTTGCTCTTCTTTTATCTATGTATGTGTGATATATTCTCACATAATGTTAAGACATTGCCACAGCTCAAAGAAGACAAATTCTCTAGCACACAACCTATATTTATGTATGTGTGTGTCTCTATTATGTATATGGGGTGTCAAGTCAAGTCAATTTTAGGTTTAACCCAAAAATGACTCGACATGAAAATAGTCAGATTAAACCCGAGCCATTAAATAAATGAGTCGACAATCTCAACTCAATCACGAATCCAACACATCCTAACGTGAAAATAGTTGCCATGATGGATTAACTTTAACCCAACCTAAATTGGACACTATTATCTATTACATTATGTAGACAACTTTACTATTGACAAGCAATGGTGAAGATAAATCTCAATTGCATACTAATAAAATTGATACATCATCAACGAATTCTTTCGTCAAACACGAATCTCAAGGCATGACACAAGGCTTGAGATAATATTTTGAGCAAGAAACGTTGAAGCTTTGATAAAATGTCAACCAAAACTCTAATTTCAACAAACTTACATTCTAACAGATTGGCTTGATGAAATGGACCCAATGATACTAAAATTGGTCCAATTGGAGTCAAATCAAGCTCATATCAAGTCATTAAACCAAAATTGAAAGCTTTCAAAAAATATTTGAAAGGTCAAACCAATGTTGAATTCGACGAGTTCATAGTCGAATCGAACGTCTCAATAAGATGAATCCAATGAGCTCAAGATCGCTCAATTCTGATATCTTTAAGGCACTCAAATGTCCATCGAACGCCGTCTGATTAATGGAAGCCCTCTGAGTCGTTAGATCAAAGTGGTAAATATTCCAATATTAATTGTTACTATAACTCTATAAATAGAGCTTCATCCCTTTTATGAGAGGGGAGGGGAGCTTGAAGTTTTGAAAAGAACTTGAAGCTTTGAAAAAAAGCTGAAGTCTAGCATCACTCTGACCACCGCCAACCACAGTCAATCACTACTCACAAGCTCTCGCCGATCATTATCGACCGCGACCTATTTCATGCGACAATTTTTTCACGCAACGACGTAGTAATTCAAAAGACTTTGCAACTCTTTTCCGTCTGCGGGATAAGAGATCTCTGTAATTATCAACTTATAGTGATTTTTTACAAACGAGTCATAATTCGTGATTTTTTTTCATTTTTGCGCTTTAATGTAAAAACTTTTGATGTTATTTTCTTTTATTAGAACACATGTTGAATTCTTGTGCAAAATTAAGACGATAATCTATTTCTTTATCACCACAAATTTGCTAGCATGTTTCAAGAACAATTTCATTTGGAAAAAAATTAGGTGACTTTTTCTTTGAAGTTTTCACAAAAAAAAAAAAATCATGTTCTATGCACCATTCTTAACTCTAGTTATTTGAATTCCATGTTTAAATAAAAATGAGATATTAAATTACTTCTATAAATTTTTTAAACTTCTAATAAATAAGAAAGAGAGTTAGTAAAAAATTTAATTTAAATCAAATGAAATTTTAAAAAAACAAAAAATAAATTTAACTCTACCTTAAATTCAAAATTTTCACGTTTTTTTTCCTTTTCACGTTCCTTCACTTTACTACGGCCGCTTACATTTAATAAATTATATTTAAAATAAGGGTCTGTTTGGCGCAGCTGCAGCTTCTCAGCTTTTCAGCTGCAGCTGCGCTGCCTCATAAAACTGCTACGAGGAAGCTGGCTGTCAGTTTGATGCAGCTGTGTGAGAACAGCTGTGGGGCAGCTGTTTCTGAAGAAATGACCAAACTGCCCCTGTTTGGTAAAACTGTTTAAAAAATTTATATATATATGTAAAAAAATTAAATATGTAATTGCGAATCGTATTTGTAATAAATATATTTTATGGAATATGGTAGTCAAACAATAAAGACATCTCGAGTTTGCTATGTAAATATTAAGGTCAAATCACTATTAATCAAGCTGAGCATTGTAGCAAAAATCATGATTTGAACTAGTTCAGTTTCAACCACAGCATAATTATGAAAATTAATTTGTCAACACTCGCAATACCATTTCAGATATAATTTGATACCAAAGCATTATAAATGTAAAATTGAACTTTGTGCTATACATGTGAATACCTAGGAGTTGTGTGGTATGCATGTAAATTTCCCTTTCAATTTTTATCTATTGGAATGATATTATTGAATTGTACATATTGTGTTCCCTTTCAGCTGATTTCTTTGTCTGAGAAGAGGTGGTGATGTTCTTTCTTCCATTCATCTTTTTGATCCAACAAGAAAATTTTCATCCAGAAACATATTTCAGAAGATGGCAAATAGTCATGCTGCTTAGGAGTTGAGAAGAAGATTCCTAGCTTATATAATGCTAATAGAAAAATTTGTATAAAAATATAGACGAACTTATGAGAACGATATTTTTCAATTGTAGTGAAACAGTACTCTAGATTGATTTTATTTAAACACACACACTTAAAAATGAAAAAGAAGAGAAAATTTATGACCACAAATTATATGTATTTATGTATCTAACTTTAAAACTTGTATATTTACATTTATAATATTTTTGGTGTGAAGAACTTAAACATGAAATTGTATCTGATTTATAAAAGATAAATGATACTGGCATTTTTAATGTGATGTAATTATTTTATAGAAAATTTATAGTTTACCCAAACAGTCCAGGTGCATTTTCAAAACATCACCGCACCAAATAAGCTCTACCAAATGGACCCTTAAGCGAAAAGATATATGACAATATCATTAAAGTATCAAAGCCTATAGATTGACAAAATTATAAAATATCTAATATTTTTAAACTTAGGCAAAAATATATATGACAAAATCATTAAAGTAACCAAATTACATGAGGAAAAAATATTAAAATATACTATCTACATTAAGAAAAAAATTTTCAGGAGGTGGGCCCCACTTCCGACACTAATCTTATTGTTTTTTAATTTTTTGACAAATGCATTTAAAGCAGAAATAACAGGCCCCCATCTATTTAAACAAACGAAAAATAATAGCACAATTTATACCCTCCAAAATACAAAAAATTTCATATTTGCACCTTTAATTACATGCAAAGCTTTTTAAGAGTGCAGAATCCCCAAAAAGAAAAAATTTAAAAAGGGGGTGAAGAATGAAATTAATTATTCTGCCCCTGGCGCCATCGAAAAAATATTACATCAGTACTACGCACGTAGATGTAATGTAACGTGCGTAGCTAATGAAATCACGCCACGACACCCACGTGATAGGAAAAAAAACAAAGCGATAACACGTGGAATATTCCTTCCCGTGTTATTCATGTGTTATTGTGTGTTATTCATGTGTTACTGATGTGTTATTGTGTTATCATAATACCAAAAATATTCTCATAACACAATAACACATGAATAACACACAATAACACCAGAATAACATGGGGGAGTATTCCCAACAGAGCAAAATACGGCGCAGTAACATGAGGAATATTCCCCCCATATTATTCATGTGTTATTGATGCGTTATTGTGTTATTATAACAACAAGAATATTCCAATGACACACTAACACATGAATAACACAATAACATATGAGTAGCATCGAGGGAATATTCCCCGTGTTACTGTGCCGTTTTTTTCTTTCTGTCGCGTGGGGTGTCATGGCGTGATTTCATTGACTACGCACATTACTCTACGTGCGTGATACTTGTAATATTTTTCCGGCGCCACGACACCATCAGCATAATACAAGTCACAAATCTCCTGCTTAAAAAGAAGGTTTTAAATAACTTTATGTTTAGAAGAAGGTAAAATTAGCTGATGATATACTATCTTATTATTAATGACATAATAATTCAAATGCTAAAAAATAATTAACTCCAACTAGTACCTGAGACACTGATTTAATTTAATTTTTTGTCTGCTTTACATTTTAAATTATCATTACAGTTTTATTTGTGGATATAGTTCATAAAAAAAAATTATACTGAAATAGGGGTGTAAATGAACCGAACGCGATCAAACAATAACAATTTAAACATGAACGAATCACTGTTCGTCTTTAGTTCGTTTAACTAACCGAATGAAAAAAAAATTATTCACGTTCGTCCCGTTTAATTATCGAACGAATCGAACAAGAACTCATTGAAGAACCGAACACGTATTGTTCGAAAACAACGAGTTTTTTTTGACAGCCCTACGCTTAAAACTTAATTTTGCAATATGATCAGTTAAAGTACATTGGCTTTAAAAAAATTTTAAAATTTTAAAATATTATTCTTCTCATCACAATTTAATAATTATTTTTTAAAAAAGCTACAGCCAAATATGTAACTTAGATGTTGGACATATAAATATATAAGAATTATTTGGTATGTATATAAATGTACTAGTAATAAAGTAATATATATATATATATATATATATATTTCAAATAAAGTAGTCACAAATTAAATTATCGTTTCCCTTCAATGCACGCTGCAAAGCAGCCAAATGGAACTCTTATCCACTTAAATTATTTAAAAACTGGGAGAATTTATAAAAATACCACCGAAATCCTTTTGAATTTACAAGTTTAGCACCTAACATTTATTTTTTACATTTATACCACACCAATCTTTCATATGTAACTTTAAAAAAAATGAATGTATTGGATATGCAAATACATAAGAAGTCAGTGGTATGTGTGCAAATCTTCCTAATTATATTTTGGTTAATATTTTCTTATTTTTTACCATCTAAATAAATATTAAAATTTAAATGTTATATACATATAAAAAATCTAAAGAAATTAAGCTAAAACTAAAACTATGATTTCCAATCTGAAAATAATGGCATTTTACAATTTCAGAAAGGAAACAAATTTCTCACATCGCGAGACTCTCACTGATAACCCTTTTCTCGGCCCCTCCCCCCTCTTCTTCTGCTACGGCCGCCGGCCGCCACGCCGACGCCGTCAACAGCGACAAATCCTTCCATCCCAACTTCAAACTCCCTCCCTCCTCCACCAACGTATACCCCTTCCACGGCACCATCCCTAACAACAATCTCGCTTGCTCCGCCGGACTTCCGGCGAGCGACACTGGAAGGAATCCCACTCGCCGGAGCTCATCACCCCATCTCTCCACCCTCACTTCACCCGTTCTCTTCGGCCCCCCCACCGCCACTATATTTCGAATCTCACCACCCAAAACCCCTCTCTCCACCTCCCACCTCTCCTCCCCTCCTCCCCCTCCATCTCCAATCGCATCAAACAGAGCAGAATAGTAATGAAGCGCTTCGACGAACCTGCACAGGAAGTCGCCTCCATGGCTGAGATCCTGCTCCACCACAGTGACGATATGGGGGCGAATGGATTTGAGAATTTGCACGGCGGCGAGATCCGATCCAGTGACATCGTACACACAATGCTGCGTCCAATGCACGACGGTCGCTTCAGAAGGATCGGTGGGAAGGAAGGGGGTGAGGTCGGTGAGGTCAGTGATTTTACCTTCGATCGGGGTGAAATCGAATGGGATGCGAAGTCCGGCGGCGAAATCGGCGAGGGTGCGTCCGGTGGAGTGGAGGATTTCGGCTGCGGGCCCGATGCCGGTGATTCGAATTGATTGAATGGGACGGGAGCGGGAGGAGAGGATGTGAAACAATCCCGGCCATTGGAGGCCGTGGATGATGTCGAGGTCGAGGATGTGGACACGATCGTGGTAAGCCAGGGCTTGAAAGATGGCTTGGTTGGATGTGAAGTGGGAGAATTTGAGGAGGGGGGAGATGGAGTTTAGGGATTGGAAGGATCGGGAGATGCGGCGGGTTAGCGATAGGGTTAGGGGTTTGAGGGAGAGAGGAGAGTAAGTGCCGAGGAAGGAGGAGAGGATTCGGGCGTGGAGGGCGTCGGAGAAGTAGGCGGCGACGCGTTCGGGGGAGGAGCCGAATGGGGAGGAAAGGGAGGAGATTTCGGGGAGGAGGGTTAGGGCATAGGAGAGGTTGTCGAGAGAGACGGATTCGGCGCAGTGGAGGAGGAGGGTGAGGAGACGGAGGATGCGGGAT